TAGTCACATACTGTGCATATACATTGAGGGAATGATTCCCTGTTGATTCCTTAATTCACGGCTGCGTTTCTAGGGAGACCTCATTTGAGGCAGATCCAGTATGAAAGCAAAAGAATAGGTCAGGGGCCTGCAGGACCCTTTCTGGAATTACAGGAGTTGGAGTCTGGCAGTGGGGTCCTCGGCAGATCTAGACCTCAGTTTTCTCCTTGAACTTTTTTCTTCAGAAAGCAATGAGTCATCTGTTTCTGGAGGTTTGTTTGGCCTACAAGCTCCTTGTTCCTCTGCCAAGCACCCCCCAGCTGCCTGTGCCCTCTCAGTCAGCTCGGGGTCCATGCGGCCACTGGGGCAGAGACAAGACAGGCACAGTCCTCGCCTTCAAGTTCATGTCCCTCTTAGCTAAGAACAAATGACCTTCTAACTACCTATAAAAATCCTCTTCCCAAGAAAACATTCGTTGATGGTTATGAGGATGGAGAGGGAGGGTGAGGGTTATTTACTGACTAGATAGTAGATAAGAATTACCTTAGGTGAGGGGAAGGACAGCACACACTACAGGAGAAGTCAGCACAACTGGACTAAACCAAAGCTAAGAAGTTTCCTGAATACAGTCAAACACTTTGAGGGACAGAGTAGCAGGGGTAGGGGTTTGGGGACCATGCTTTCAGGGGACATCTAGGTCAATTGGCATAACAAAGCTTATTAAGAAAATGTTCTGCATACTACTTTGGTGAGTGGCATCTGGGGTCTTAAAAGCTTGCAAGCGGCCATCTAAGATGCATCAATTAGTCCCAGCCCACCTAGAGCAAAGGAGAACAGAGAACACCAAAGACACAAGGAAAGTATTAGCCCAAGAGATGGAAAGGGCCACATAAACCAGAGACTCCATCAGCCTGAGACCAGAAGAACTAGATAGTGCCTGGCTACCACTAGTGACTGCCCTGACAGGGAACACAATAGAGAGTCCTGAATGGAGCAGGAGAAAGGTGGGGTGCAGAACTCAAATTCTAGTAAAAGACCAGACTTAATGGTCTGACTGAGACTGGAGGAACCCAGGAAAGCATGGCCCCTGGATTCT